CAACCCAAGGTTGAGCAGGGTTTCCTTGCTCAGCCTTAGTGCCTGCACCCGCTGTTTAATCAAATGTTTCTCCCAAAATGGTAAAAAGGTGGTGATTCTAAGTGGTAAACACTAAGGTAGGTCTGAGGGTGGCGCAATGCGCTGGGATAATTGACAAGAGGAGGGTGGTTGAGGTCTTATAAGGTGTAAAACAGAGCGAAAAAATTTAAATGAGGCTTTATCTAATGTTTAAACAAATAACATTACACATGAGATTGAAATAGCAGAGGGACACTATTGCCCTATCACACAGTTAAGGCTAAAAGACTCTGGGGCACGTAAGTAATCATTTTGGGGGAGAGATATTAGTAGGTTAGTGGAATGTCCTAAAATGTGTTATGCGAAAAAAACTAATAAATGTTTGTGTATGAGAATTTTAAAGTCAAGGTTAACAGTTTCATTATTATTCAACGTGTACATAGGCGTTAAAATTTTGAACAACCGTCGCCTCAAACATAACAAAACAAGGATGGGGGCGGGGGAGGGCCACATGGGGAATTCAATTTTTTTAGCATCTTCACCATTTGAAAGTTTTTAGAAACTTCAAACGTATTGTGAATCTAGACTATGAAAAATATGAAAATTGTAGAGTGTGAAGGTGCTGAAAATTATGAACACCCCTTTTTAAAATAACAAATATTGGGGGGGAGGAGAAAAAACTTATCAGGATTTTCACCACTTTAAATTTTGTAGAATGCAATGTGAATCTGTACACTTGGTGGGAGTTTTTCGAAAATTTTGGCATCTTCACCACTTCAAAGTTTTTACATTCGTCAATTCGTACATACGGGCACAAGAGCACATTTCAATTATTTATGTTTATCATTTATAAAATTTTTAAAATGTTAAACGTTTATCTAAAAATAGAGGATTCAACATTTTCAATATCCTTAAAAATTATTGAAACCAAGCTTTATAAAAAATAAAATTGTTGACTTGTTTCGCTTTAGAAACAATTTCAGCGAAGATTTGACAAGTTGTTGACCTTTTGTGAAATCCCATTAGGTACGTGGAATATTAATTTAAAGTTACGAAGTTTTTTAGGTCACCATCAAAGCATCACTTTTACAATGCTTTATTAATGAAGGACCTAGTCCAAAGCAATTGTCGGTATCGACTTACATAATTGAGACAATAGTCAGGGAAAACCTCAATCTAAATATTTTTTTTTTTTTATCGCGACGGACTTTTACCGTGAAACCAATCATTGAATACTTGAGAGTTCAAAACGTTTCTTTGTGTGTTGTACGCTCGATGAATGAGACTAAGTAGGGCGCTAACCATACTTTTGAGGTCTCCATTTTTACATGCATCGGTAATTACAATCTAAAAAGTGTTACCTATAAAAAATTTGGGGTCATAGGCTTATTCAGCAATCTCATGGAAGACATAAATTTATAGATTTTTGCCTATAAATAGTTAGCACCTGGTCCAAACTTCTACAAAGATTGTGTAAGAGAACAATAGATGACACCTGTGAAGTCACTTTAAGCTTCCAGGTAGAAAGTGGACGCTTTTGTAATCCTCCAGACATAAAAATGCAGCAAGTCATTCAAACCTGAAAGCGGACGCTTTTGTGACCCTCAGACATGAAATGCAATAAGCCATATGTATCGAATTGTTGGACACAAAGTGTTGAGGTAATGCATATTATTATAACAATAGTGTGGACTGTTGTTGATGTTGGAATTGAAAAAAAAAAAAAAAAAAACACAAAAATGGTTGTTTCGATAAGTCGTGAAAGACTTTAAGAAATATTAGGGGTGAATTTTTCAAGAAAAAGTATTTTTGCTTAAGGCTTTAGGCTTTTGTTTTGTTTCTGTCTTTGTCTTTTTTTTGTTAGGGATTAACATTTGTGTTGTACCCTATTTTCAGGAGTTAAAAAAAAAATAATGATGAATTAGACAATTGCTCAATTGGTATATGTCATCGTTGAGCAGACCATTGGCCACCCGACTTCATGACGATTTTATCGGCACCTATATGTGTGTAGCATTCATGAGCCCAATAGACACATAAACTGTGTATTAAGAGTTATGTATCTATATTATGGAATTTTGTACATGTTGATCAAGAGCATGCAGGACTTGACAAACCCCCTGAAATAAAAGTCGGGATTTTCAAGTCACTGTGTCTTTTTCCAAAACACCTATTGTTACTAAAAAATCGTTATAGGAAAAAAATTATGTTTTTTAAGTTTCCTTTAATAAATTTCAATAAATTGTACACCAACCTTGTACTTTTTTTTTTGAGTCATCCTTGTACTCTTTCTGTTTCTTTCGACATACCTTTTTTTTATTTTTTATTCAAGTTGCAATTTGTATTATAAAATTAAAAAAAATTGAGGTCGGGAATCCCTCGACATTTCAACCCGAAAAATTTTGTTGGAAACCGGGTTCATCGTCCCAAGTACGACAACTGAAATCACAGAAAAAAAGATAATTGGATTAACAAGTTTCAAATTACAGAAATAAAGGAGACAACCACTAAGCCAAACTAAACAGTTAACCTGCTATTTTTTTGGGAGCCTTACTCGATTTCGCTTAAAAATATTACAAAAAGGAAAACACACCATCTGCTATATTTTTGGGAGCCTTACCCAGTTTCGCTTAAAAATATTACGAAAAGGATAACACATCATGAAGTACTTCCATATTTTCATAAATTAAAACAAATCTATTGAGGTGTCAAGCGGTTTGCTGACATACCAATAGAAAAAAAAAATGTAGATTGGGGATTCCGAAATCCTAAAACTCCTACTGACTTCCAACATCGATGTGATTTATTTTGCATAGCGCATAAAATGACCACCCAGAGTACTTACCCTTTCCTCAGCGATGGTGCAATATATAATTTTCTGTCCTTCGTAGCTGATGCAAAAAACTTTTCTTCCCCCAAGTTTTTCACTAAATCATAGTGGACCTTATATTATCCAATCTACAATAATAACAAAACGAATATCCCTTTTAATAATGCTAAAAGTCTCTTGTATTGATATTACCTCCTTTCTATTCCTCGTTGCCCAAACCGCTTCCATTATTATACCCTTGATCACCAAAGCAACGTACCAACCTCCTAGTTTGAAGGAGGCTATTTCAGGTACTTTACCGTACATGATAAAATTGTCAGTCCAGACCTCTCTCTTGTCCCTGCATTCTTTCCATTTTTCCTTCCACCATTTCCACACTGTGTCTGACAGGGGACAACACAACCATAAGTGAACTGCATTTTTTTAACCCCACTTACATCTCACACAGGTGGACGGGAGATCGATACCTTTCGAGTTTAGCCATAGTGCCGCAAATGTCGCTTGAAGGGACTGAAACCATTGGATCGCCGCCTTTTTTTTTTTTTTTTGCATACCTTTTTTTTGTTTTGTTGGCACACATTTTTTTTTATGCAACAAATTTGATGAATAACCACCTTATCGTCTGTGATTGGAATCTCTACCCTGTGTCCGTGTCATTGATAGTTCAACTTCGCCAATTGCCCCTGTGCTCCTGACCATGAAAGTATCAGAGTGCAATTGTTGGATGCCCGAAAAAATTATAGAGGCAGAACGCGAATTACACAAACTATGGGGACAGATCGCAAATTTTATATTCGAGAATAAAATTGACAAGAAGAACAAGTCCTTACCCGTGGGATATGCGGACACAACCTTATTAGACAAGCAGTACAGTGGAAGACAAACACAACAGTGCAATTCGTTCCCTTTTGTGTAGAGGAACGCCGGGTCCGATTTTTGACAGGTGCTGCTCCCCACCAATAGATGGAGCCACCCAGAGATTTCTAGTGGTGCCTGCTCTCACCATCACCCCTACCGTCTTCCCCCGAACATAACACATATGCGTTATGTTCGAATGAATGAGACCAACTTTACTTGCACAAGGGGGTTGGGTCCAGTCTGAGTAGGCGCAGTTATGGACCACGATTGGGGGCCTCAGAATCTTTGCAAAAAGGTAAAGTAGCGACGTACCATTCCATGTTTTGGGTTGAGGTTCATTCCTTTCCCCTACTTGGGCCCTTGCTCCACTCCTAAGCAAGTGTGCAAAATAAGAATAAATCTTCCGCTAGAACATGGATAAATACAACCCCTTTCTTTTTTGACTCGGTGACCATGGTAGTGCAGAGAGACCTTGATGAGTGCCTTTTTTTTTTTTTCCACTTTCTTGGCCGCGCCACACTCTTGGCTGTCAGAAGCACCTTCATGCATGGAGAGAGAGAGAGAGAGAGAGAGAGAGAGAGAGAGAGAGAGAGAGAGAGAATATGCCCAAGGATAGCACATTTGTGATTACGGGCCTGCACGGGCCTGCCCCAATAACCAGGGCAAGAACGGAGCAGGCATTGACCTTGTGTGGGGGGGGGGGGGAATGGGGGAGGTTAAATTCGAATACAACAATTTTTTCTTCGTGAAATTCAAATATAACGCATATGCGTATTGTTCGAATAGAACGGACATGTGAATTATTCGAATAAAAAGGATATGCGTTATATTCGACGTGCCCTTGACTTTCCGAAAACCGGTTTTTTTTGGAAAATGGGAGAATTTCCTCGGGTTGCATTTCAAAAAAAAAAAAAAGAAGAAGAACAGTGCGCCCGTGGCCGAGGCGCTCTACCGGTAGCAGGGGCTTAGTTTTCAGTAGGCACGGGGTCCTGCCATCCGTGTGGAAATCTGACGCCCGCATTGTGGCCACGCAGAAAAGAACTCGGAACATAGGTAAATAAGGTAAACCCTCACTACTAAAAGGGCCGTAGTGAACGGCCCTCGAGTAGCTTGAATTTGCCCGCGAGGTCGTGCGGCTGTTATGTCCATAGCGCCAAGTGTTTTCGAACCGCCTGGGCTGGATTGCGGGCTGGTGAAATGTTTGCCACGCCAGTTCGGGCCGGCTTGGACCTCGCTGTTCACTGTTCACGGTAGCGTTAGCTGTAGCGCAGGAAGTGCATCCCGTTTGGACGGTGCCGTCCGCAATGACAGCGGAAGTACGTGAGGGAGAAGGGGGGGAATGCAGCTGAACACGGCAATGACAGCGGAAGTACGTGAGGGAGGAGGGGGGGAATGCAGCCGAACACGGCAATGACAGCGGAAGTACGTGAGGGAGGGGGGGAAATGCAGCTGAACACGGCAACGACAGCGGAAGTATGTGAGGTAGGGGGGGAATGCAGCTGAACACGGCGACGACGGGTGAGTCCTCGTCTGGATGTGTGCTGTCATGTTCGGTATACAGAACTGCACAAAGTGTGTGTGTGTGTGTGTGTGTGTGTGTGTGTGTGTGTGTGTGTGTGTGTTTGTGTGTGTGTTTGTGTGTGTGTGTGTGTGTGCGTGTGCGTGTGCGTGTGTGTGTGTGTGTGTGTGTGTGTGAGATAGAGATAGAGATAGAGATAGAGAGAGAGAGAGAGAGAGAGAGAGAGAGAGAGAGAGAGAGAGAGAGAGAGAGAGAGAGAGAGAGAGAGAGAGAGGGCGAACAGCCAGATGATGATAGACCTGCCCATGTACGTATGTCAAGGAGAACGTGCCTTTGTTCGTCTGGCGTCAACTGAACTCTCGTCCTTTTTCCCTTTCATTTTTTTTTAATTCTTTTTTTTAACCCGAAAAGGGCGACAGCCTTAAGGTCTCATCGTCGAGCTGACGGCCCCCTGGCAATTCAGAGTTGTTTTACTCATCCGGATTCCAATGCAAGATTCGAACTCACGTCTGCGTATCAACGGTTCATAGGTGTATTTTCGTTCAGCCGCATGGGCTTTGGTGCAAATTTTAGTTTTTCAGAAAGACCTATGGCCGCTCTATTTTAATTGTCTTTTCCCTTGTTTTTTTTCCTTTTCCGGCCATGTTTGTTTTTTCTTTGTAGTACTTGCCATTTTGGCATGTTGTTTCTTTAAAACAACAACAAAAAAAAACTTGGCATATTGTTTCCTTTGACCAAATCCATCCATCCAGGTAACAATATGCCAAGTTTTTTTTTTTTTTTTTTTTTTTTTTTTAGTCCTGCTCCTGCGGTGAGTATGCGCTGGTCAAGATGCGGGTTGCTCGTTGATGGATCACGACATTCAGATGGTGATCAATGGTGACCGCGAGGCCTCATCACACAACTGGCTGTTGTCAATTCCTCATCGTCTTCTCCCTGCTCTTCCACCTCCTTCTCCTTCTCCTTCTCCTTCTCCTTCTCCTTCTCCTTCTCCTTCTACTCCTCCTCCTCCTCCTCCTCCTCCTCCTCCTCCTCTTCTCTTCGTTCCCTTCCCTTCTTCCGCTGCCTTCTCCTCCTCCTCCTCATGATTATCGGCTGCTCTTTCTGTTCATCTTCGGCAATCCGATCGTGATGATCATCATGATTTCTGTTCATCGTCGGGATCGCGATCATGATGATCATCATGATCAATCATCATGATCAATCATCATGCTCGTTCAGCTCTTTCTGTTCATCGTCGGGATCGCGATCATGATGATCATCATGATCAATCATCATGCTCGTTCAGCTCTTTCTGTTCATTGTCGGGATCGCGATCATGATGATCATGATGATCAATCATGATCAATCATCATGGTCGTTCAGCTCTTTCTGTTCATCGTCGGGATCGCGATCATGATAAGCATGATCATAAACGAGCATGATGGTGATGAATGATTATGAAGAATAATCATCGTGATGATATTGTCGATGGTGATATGATTACCGTCCTCGTCGCCCTTTTCTTTCCTTAGCTTGCTGAAGTAAACAGTATAGCGTATCGTCGTCCTCTTTTTACTTTCCTCAGCTTTTCTGAAGCAAAGAGTATAGCGTATCGTCGTCCTTACTGGCGCGTTAATCATCTTCGTCATTCATGATATATGGCCATCATCATTGTTCATTTGTCATGGCGCCATCTTGCCTGCTTACGACAGAGGACTACGGGGTATGGAGGAGCAGAAATAGGACCGTACCGAGGGGGGCGATCGGGATCTCCCGTCTGTGCATCCAGATCGCCCTCTCGCTGCCCAAACCAAACCAGATGGTTCGCAAGCGAACTTACTGTATTGATTGAGTAAATTTATTCATCAATTTATGTATTTAATAATATTGAGCTGAAGTACAAAGTTTCGTTCTATTGAATCAATAAAAATAAAAAAAGAACAATTGAAAATAAGTTGCGACTTATTTTCGATTGTTATTTAACCGTGTCTGGAGCGAACCATGTGGTTCGGGGAGCGATCCAGCCGCTGGGCTACCGTCGTCCCCCGAACACAACGCACCCCCATTTTGCTTGTATCGGGCCGGAAACATACCTTGTATACGGTCATTTTCAGGGTGCGTTATGTTCGGGGGAAGATGGTAGCACTGTTTCTTTTTCATGCCCATAGCGTCACGGCACACACGCCTCTCAAAACCGACTTGGCTGGATGTCGTT